ATGAGCTGTAATTCCTGTATAAAGGACTTGCCACACCTGCATAAATGGCTGGTCACACCTGTATTACTGACCTCCCACACCTGTATAGATGAGCTGTAATTCCTGTATAAAGGACTTGCAACACCTGCATAAATGGCTGGTCACACCTGTATTACTGACCTCCCACACCTGTATAAATGAGCTGTAACACTTATGTAAATGACTTTGAACATGTGTATACACGACCTGTTAAACCGATATAAAAAGACTAGGGCACCTGTATAAATAAGCTGTAATTCCTTTATAAATTACCTGTCACACCTGTATAAATGAACTGTCACACCTGTATACAAGACCTGTCACACCTGTATAAATGAACTGTCACACCTGTATACATGACCTGTCACACCTGTATAAATTACCTACCACACCTGTATAAATGACCTGCCACACCTGTATACATGACCTGTCACACCTGTATAAATGAACTGTCACACCTGTAAAAATGACCTGTAACATCTATATAATTGACATGTCATATGCGTATAAATGACCTGTCACACCTATTTAAATGACCAGTAACACATACATAAATGATATTGTCACACTTGTATAAATGATTTGACACACCATATAAATGACCAGCCATACCTTAATAGATGACCTGCCACACCTTTATAAACTACCTGTTAATGACCTGTCATAACTATATAATTGACTTGCCACACCTTTATAGATGACCTGCCACAACTATATAAATGACTTGCCATACCGTATTAATGACCTGTCATAACTATATAATTGACTTGCCACACCTTTATAGATGACCTGCCACAACCACATAAATGACTTGCCATAACTGTATTAATGACCAGCCATACCTGTTTAAATGACCTACCATGCCTGTATAAATAGCATACCATATCTGTATATTTGACCTGCTATACCTAAACTAATTATCTGCCGCACCTGTATCAATGAATTGAAACACTTGAAGAAATGATCTGAAGCACCTGTATAAATGACCTGCCATACCGGTAAAATGATTTTCTCACACCTGTAAAATGATTTAACTTTATAAATGACGCCAGACACCGGTATCACTGCCCAGCCACACCAATATAAATTCTCTGTCATAACTGTATAACTGGTCTCTCAAACCAGTGTGATAATCTGCCACTCCTATATAAATGACATTTACACCTATACAAATGACGTGCCACAAAGATTTAAATGATCTTCGTCATCGATATAAATGATCTGTCACACCGGTTTAACTGACCGCAGACACAGGTATAGATAATATGCCATAACTATATTATTGATCTGCCTAACCTGAATAAGGGACCTGATCTACCTGTATACATGTCCTCTAACATCTATATAAATGGTCTCCGACACCTGTATAGATATTCCGCCGCTCCTGCCGAAATGACATGCAACACCTGTATATTCTGCCGCTTCTGCCAGAATGAATTGCCACGCCTGTATAAATGGCTTCTGACTCATGTAAAAATATGCCGTCACACATCTGTTAATGGCATGCTCTGTCAAACCTACATAAATGACCAGCAACACATATGTAAATTATATACTTCACATAAATAAATGACCAGTACCAACAGGATAAGTTAACCCCACACCTATATAAATGACCCGTCATACATGAAGGATGCAAATGATTTGTCATACCGGTAGAACTGACCTCCCACACCTCTGTAACTGACCTACTGACCTACTGTTACACATGTATAAATTATATATTACACATATATAAGGGGCATGCCACACCTGAATAAATGATATGTTACACCTGTATGATATGCTACAACTGTATAACTGGTCTGCCACACATGTATTAACTATTTCCTGTAAACTTGTATAAATACCCTGTCACACTTGTATAAATATCCTGTTACACATGTATATATGTCCTGTCACACCTGTATAAATGTCCTGTCACACCTTTATAAATGACCTGTCACACCTTTATAATTGACCTCCAATACATGTTTAAATAAACTGTCACACCTGTATAAATGAACTGTCACACCTGCATAACTGACCTCCCACACCTGTATAAATTACCTGCCACACCTGTATAAATGACCTGTCACACATGTATAACTGACCTTCCACACCTGTATAAATGACCTGTCACACCTGTATAACTGACCTTCCACACCTATATTAAATGAAGATGTTGCACTTTCTAAGACCACTTGATATTGATAAATAAGTATGTAAATCTGTATTAGATATCTGAAACATAAGCGATACGAGATATTTTTGAAGGTGAGAGTAAGTCCGAGCACAGTGTGCGGCAACGTAACAGTTTTAGATATAAAATGGACGTCAAGCCTCAAAATTAAACCACCCCTTTCTTTTAGATGTTAATTTACTTTCTGCCATTTCTACTATTTATTTTGTAATGTGGTTTGGAAGGGTAGGTGACGGGATACTTCTAACTTATTGTAACACCGATCAACCTAGCTCATCGCACGTTCATGCAACACTTGAACTGCCGATGATTTCATTTCCCCTATGAAATGATAAATTTATGGATTTAACACAAATTGTGTGATAGGTAAGTCTGTATGATAGTGGTGTTGATCTGACTCATTTCCAAGCGGACGGATCGTGGTGGTATTCAGGGTTACATACGAGTTCAGAGTTCAGAGTAAAATCGGTATTTTCTCAAAGTTTCGACGCATTAAAGAATTAACGATAAACTGGAAATTCACGGGTATTTTTCCATACCTTCGACAAATTTGAAATGTAACGATATACCAGGACAATTTACGTTACAATCCAATGCGTATTACATCTTCGATATAACATGTTTTGTCTAAACAACACCCAATGTATTTTTGTGAAATTTTGATCTAACTGTAACCTGTTTATTTGTAATATATTTTAACAGAAACGAGGAAATGAAAATGAAAAAAATATGATTTGATGAGATGTTTTACAAGTCTACTTACTATCAAATTAAGCACAAACTCACACATATACTTGTTATATTTATATTTGCGTGAGGCACAAAGTAAAACAATGAAAATATACAAGATATTATACAACACTATTGTTCTGAAAGCGACACAGTTATAAAAGCTTTGTCAATACTGTGTAAATTGTATAGCATATATATTATAGGACCTCTTGTGCCTCGCGTGTCGTTGTGTGCCAGAAATAATGCAAATCAGAAATCTTACAAACTGTAGTACGACAATAGACAAAGGTTGTGCACTGTCTGCACTGTAGTAATGGCAACAGTCAAGGGGCTGCACATGGCGACGGGGACAATAATTTCCTTTGTAAAAGGAGGGGCGGAGAGCAGTAACTCACTCTCAGGGTGACGTAACTTCGGGAGGGTGTAAAGCAGTCGATATGAGGTGTGTACTTACCTTGTATACAGCAAATCAATAATAGCACTGGCCATATCCCTCCAGTCGCCATATTGGACAATGGTTTTAGTGTATATGTTGGGGTCCGACAGGATGCGCTCGTGTATAGTACGTATAGGATGGAAAGGAGGAAATGGGACCTTGCTCAACGACTTAACGGGAAATAGGGCTCCGAGCCCGGATTGTAAGGTGACGTCAGCGTATTGTCGCGTGTTGCTGGTAAAAGCTCTCATTTGCATTTTCTCGAGACACGTGTACCAGGCTGGATGCGAACCCGATGCAATTGTACGCAGATTGAGGTTTATGACAAAGGACTTGCATAAACACGCAAAAAAAAAAGGAAAAAGAAAAAAAGAAAAAAAGAAAAACCTTTGAAATCCTTTGGGAACTTTTAAAGTACGATGTTCGAATTTAATTCTGTATTGATATGAAACAAATCTGAAGTAAACTGGGTTTTCTCGGATTGTATCAACAGTATTGTAAACCCTACAGTATAATTGTTGACTAACAGGTTACAGAATATGCCATGTAAAATTTGCTTGTTTCCACTAAATGACATTGTCTGTAATCAGCATTTTTTCTTCGTACGTTATGATACTGTACCCAAACACACTTCGACCAAATCTACTTTCTTATCGGGGTGACGTTCTGGCTATTGACCTATCGCGCTGGAAATCTGGCTGCTAGTCTACCGCGATGACGTCCTTACTACTGGCCTACCGCGCTGTCGACCTTCCTACTGGCCTGCTGTACTGACGTCCTTACTAATGGCTTACTGTAGTGACGTCCTAACTACTGGGTTACTGTACTGAAGTTCTTTCTTATTAGCCTACTGTACTGACGTCCTTACTACTGATCTACTGTACTGACGTCCTTACTACTGGGTTACTGTCCTAACGTTGTTACTACTGGGTTACTGTACTGACGTCCTTATTACTGGCCTACTGTACTGACGTCCTTACTACTGGCTTACTGTACTGACGTCCTTACTACTGGCCGGCTGTACTGTCGTCCTTACTACTGGCTTACTGTTCTGCCGCCCTTACTACTGGTTTGCTGTACTGTCGTCCTTACTACTGGCTTACTGTACTGACGCCCTTACTACTGGTTTGCTGTGCTGTCGACCTTACTACTGGCTTACTGTACTGACGTCCTCACTACTGGCCTGCTGTACTGTCGTCCTTACTACTGGCTTACTGTACTGACGCCCTTACTACTGGTTTGCTGTACTGTCGACCTTACTACTGGCTTACTGTACTGACGTCCTTGCTACTGGCTTCCTGTACTGACGTCCTTATTACTGGGTTACTGTACTGAAGTCATTATTACTGGCTTACTGTACCGACGTCCTTATTACTGGCTTACGGTTCTGTATTCGTTACTACTGGCCTACTGTACTGATGTCCTTACTACTGGCTTACTGTGCTGACGTCCTTACTACTTGCCTGCTGTACTGACTTCCTTACCACTGGCTTACTGGACTGACGTCCTTACTACTGACCGTCCTTACTACTGGCCTGATGTACTGTCGTCCTTACTACTTGCTTATTGTACGGAAGTCCATACTACTGGGTTACTGTCCTTTCGTCGTTACTACTGGGTTCCTGTACTGACGTCCTTATTCCTGGCTTACTGTACTGACGTCGTTGCTACTGACCTGCTGTACTGATGTCCTTACTACTGGCTTCCTGTACTGACGTCCTTATTACTGGGTTACTGTACTGACGTCCTTCCTACTGGCCTGCTGTACTGACCTACTGACCTGCTGTACTGATGTCCTTACTACTGGCTTACTGTAGTGACGTCCTTACTACTGGCTTACCGTACTGACGTCCTTACTACTGTCCTGCTGTACTGACGTCCTTGCTAATGGCTTACTGTACTGACGTCGTTGCTACTGACCTGCTGTACTGGCGTCCTTACTACTGGGTTACTGTCCTGACGTCGTTACTACTGGCCTACTGACGTCCTTACTACTTGCTAACTGTACTGATGTCCTTACTACTGGCTTACCGTACTGACGTCCTTACTACTTGCTAACTGTACTGATGTCCTTACTACTGGCTTACCGTACTGACGTCCTTACTACAGGTTTACTGTACTTACGTCCTTACTACTTGCCTGCTGTACTGACTTCCTTACCACTGGCTTACTGTAACTACTGGTTTGCTGTACTGTCGACATTACTACTGGCTTACTGTATTGACGTCCTTACTACTGGCGTCCTTACTACTGGGTTACTGTCCTGACGTCGTTACTACTGGCCTACTGACGTCCTTACTTCTGGCCTGCTGTCCTGTCGTCCTTATTACTGGCTTACTGTGCTGACGTCCTTACCACTGGCTTACTGGACTGACGTCCTTATTACTGGCTTACTGTCATGACGGCCATACTACTGGCCTGCTGTACTGACCTACTGACCTGCTGTACTGCCGTCCTTACTACTGACCTGCTGTACTTACTACTGGCCTACCGCGCTGTCGACCTTCCTACTGGCCTGCTGTACTGACGTCCATACCACTGGCTTACTGTACCGACGTCCTTATTACTGGCTTACTGTCATGACGGCCATACTACTGGCCTGCTGTACTCTCGTCCTTACTACTGGCTTACTGTACAGACGTCGTTACTACTGGCTTACTGTAGTGACGTCCTTACTACTGGCGTCCTTACTACTGGCCTGATGTACTGTCGTCCTTACTACTTGCTTATTGTACGGAAGTCCATACTACTGGGTTACTGTCCTGACGTCTTTACTACTGGCTTTCTGTACAGACGTCGTTACTACTGTACTGACGTCCTTTCTACTGGCCTGCTGTACTGCCGTCCTTACTACTGGCTTACTGTACAGACGTCGTTACTACTGTACTGACGTCCTTTCTACTGGCCTGCTGTACTGACCTACTGACCTGCTGTACTGTCGTCCTTACCACTGGCTTACTGTAACTACTGGTTTGCTGTACTGTCGACATTACTACTGGCTTACTGTACTTACGTCCTTACTACTTGCCTGCTGTACTGACTTCCTTACCACTGGCTTACTGTAACTACTGGTTTGCTGTACTGTCGACCTTACTCCTGCCTTACTGTAATGACGTCCTTACTAATGGCTTACTGTACTGACGTACTGATCTTCTGTACTGACGTTCTTACTACTGGCCTGCTGTACTGACGTCCTTACCACTGGCTTACTGTACTGACGTCCTTATTACTGGCTTACTGTACTGACGTCGTTACTACTAGCCTACTGTACTGACGTCCTTACTACTGGGTTACTGTACTGACGTCCTTATTACTGGCTTACTGTACTGACGTCCTTACTACTGGCCTACTGTACTGATGTCCTTACTACTGGCCTACCGCGCTGACGTCCTTACTACTGGCCTACTGTACTGACGTCCTTACTAATAGCCTACCGCGCTGACGTCCTTAGGTTACTGTACTGACGTCCTTATTACTACTACTGGCCTACTGTACTGATGTCCTTACTACTGGCCTACCGCGCTGACGTCCTTACTACTGGCCTACTGTACTGACGTCGTTACTACTGGCTTACTGTACAGACGTCGTTACTACTGGCCTACTGTACTGACGTCCTTACAACTGGGTTACTGTGCTGACGTCCTTATTACTGGCTTACTGTGCTGACGTCCTTACTACTGGCTTACTGTACTGACGTCCTTATTACTGGGTTACTGTACTGACGTCCTTACTACTGGCCTACTGTACTGATGTCCTTACTACTTGCCTACCGCGCTGACGTCCTTACTACTGGCCTACTGTACTGACGTCGTTACTACTGGCTTACTGTACAGACGTCGTTACTACTGGCCTACTGTACTGACGTCGTTACTACTGGCCTACTGTACTGACGTCGTTACTACTGGTCTACTGTATTGACTACCTTTCTACTTGTTGCGGTGAACGTATGGACATGTACCTGTGTATATGTATATAAGATGTAAATAAACTGTAAATAGAATCCAGTGCATTGTCTCATAATTATGACATCAAAGGCAAACCAGTGGCTCCGTTACATTTTAGTTTACCAGAGTCAACACAGAGAACGCTTACTTAGATTTACCAGAGTCAATACAGAGAATGCTTACTTTAATTTACCAGAGTCAATACAAAGAATGTTTACTTTAGTTTACCAGAGTCAATACAAAGAATGCTTACTTTAGTTTACCAGAGTCAACACATAGAATGATTACTTTAGTTTACGAGAGTCAATACAAAGAATGCTTACTTTAGTTTACCAGAGTTAATTCAGAGAATGCTTACTTTAGTTTACAAGAGTTAATACAGAGAACGCTTACTTTAGTTTACTAGAGTTAATACAGAGAATGCTTACTTTAGTTTACCGGAGTTAATACAGAGAACGCTTACTTTAGTTTACCAGAGTTAATACAGAGAATGCTTACTTTAGTTTACCAGAGTTAATACAGAGAATGCTTACTTTAGTTTACCAGAGTTAATACAGAGAATGCTTACTTTAGTTTACCAGAGTTAATACAGAGAATGCTTACTTTAGTTTACCAGAGTTAATACAGAGAATGCTTACTTTAGTTTACCAGAGTTAATACAGAGAACGCTTACTTTAGTTTACCAGAGTCAATACAGAGAACGCTTACTTCAATCAAACAGAGCCTTACAGAAAACATTTTCTTTAATATATCTGAGCCAATACAGAGAATGCTTATTTTAGTATAACAGTACGCTTACCTAAATCAATCACAGCCGATACAGATAACGCTTACTTTCTTTAAACAGAAGTGTTTTAGAGAGCGCTTGTTTTAATTAAACAAAACTGCAACAGGTTTTGTTTATGTCATTTAACGGAATAGAAGACGCTTACTTTCTTTAAACTAGACCGCTACAGAGGACGCTATTACAAATCCTTATACAAATACTGGTATTTGTTTCCCTAACTATGACAACTGGTTTACCCGTTTAAAGTATAATGTGACCGGGCGGAATACTGTGCTTGGAGCATTCGGCATGGTATTTTTGTGAGGTAATACTCTCAAGTCGGAATCAGATCTGCGAATCAGATCGCAAGGAGGCACATACATCAACATACCCTGCCTATGTACAGCGCACACGCACGCACGCACGCACACCCACCCACACCCACACCCACACAC